TCCAGAAGGGAAGAGACAGGGACTGGCCCAGGACAGTTGGGCCCAGCACACCCCAACAAGTGGCCTAACGGCAGGGCCAGGAACTGCCACCTCCTGGTGCTGGCTTCAGAGCACCTGGGTGTCCCCAACCCCGAGAGCCCCCAGGACTCCTGCGGAAGGGGCCACAGTCCTGCAGGGGACTGCCAGTCAGAGCTGGGGACTCCAGGCGGCACTCCCTGAGTGCACACATGGGGGCCCAGAGCGATGGCCGGGCACATCTGAGCCCCCAACAACCCTGTGTGTCCCCAGCTTTCCTGTGGGCAGACTGAGACCCAGAGAAGTGGAACCCCCGGCCTGGCCAGGCCCTGCTTGCTTGGGGGTGACTCTGCGGCCAGGGAAGGAACGGGTGCCAGCCTTCGGGGACCCCCTCCCGTCCACACCCCCGGCACCCCCTTACCAGCCAGACGACAAGCGAGTAGTGGCCACGGGCGGCAGCAGCGTGCAGCACGCTCATGCCGTCGAGGGCACGCAGGTGCACGTCGGCTCCGCAGTCCTTCACCAGGAACTGGGCCAGGTGCAGGTGGCCCTCCTGGCAGGCCAGGTAGAGCGGGGAGGCACCACTGCGTGTCCGCTGGTTCACGCCACTACGGGGGAAGGTGAGGTGAGAGGGTGTTTGGCGGGGCCTGCAGGAGGCAGGGGGCTGCCCCCAGCCAAAGGCCCAGATCAAGGGGAGGGGAGGCCCAGCACTTGACCAGCCTGTTTGCGCCCAGCCCCACCTCACTGGCCACCTGTAGGGCTGTACAGGCTGTGCACTGCTCAAGGACACCATGGCGCCCCTCCCCCCACCACTGGAATCCTGGAATCCAGCTGTGCGCACTCCCCATCAAGCTGTTAAGCTGTTCACGGTGCTGGGGATTGCTGGGAGGGGGCACGTCTTAGGGGTGAATAGCCTAGTGGGGCCCGCAGCAGGCAGGTCATTGAACCTCCAGAGCCCAGGCCCTGCTCTGCAAGGCGTCCAGGGCCTGGCATCCAAATCCTGGGCCCTGGCATGGATTCTCCAATCCCACTCTGCCTCTGTGTGGCTGCAGGGCCCGATGAGTTCTTGGTCCCTAGTGAAATGCTACAGGGAGGGGCAGTCCCTTTCCCAAGGCCACCCCATCCCCTGGTGACACAGACTTCACCTCTGGCTCCCGTGGCCAGTGCCAGGTGGGAATGTGGACCCTCGGGCGTGAGACATCACGTGCACACTTGTGTGTTTTGATGTGAAATCTCCAGGTTTTCAATGGTAGAAACTACTTTAAAAACGGTGAGTCTAAGAGACACCGTGTGGCTGGCCATGCCCCAGGCGCCCAGAGAGTGTCCGTAGAAGCAAGTCCCCAAGACCTTCCCCGAGGGGTTGGGATCAGAAGGCACAGATCAGCGTTCCACCGCTGAGCTGTGTCAGGCCTTGCAGTGGGACACGCGTGGGCCAGCCGAAGAGCCAGCCATCCCAACAAGAGGCCCCCGAGGAGACGGGCACGGCCAGAGGGAGGCGGCTTCTGGGGAGACAGGCCAGGTCAGGTGTGGGGTGGACATTAAGTCCCACAGCCAGCCAGGACAGCTGCCCTGGGAACAGGCAGTGGGAAGGCCGCGTGCATGGGACCCCTAGATGGCCCGTCACCGTGCCCACGGCATCCTTTATGTGGGGCAAGGACTGGAGAGCACTCACAATGAGGATGGGGACTGTGCTGCCCCCTGCCACACCCAGCTCACCCACCCACCGACTCCGGGCAGCGGGCACAGGGCCACCAAGACGAGACGGGCCGTCCTGGAGGGGTTCCCAGGGTGAGAATGGGGCAATGCGGCAGGATAACCCTGACAGGGACCTCAGTACCCTCCTGAGCGCACTGTTGGGCCTCTGCTCCCTTCCGGTGAGCTGAGGGTCCCCACCTTCCCAGCTGGGGGAACCTAGGACCCGGGGTGGCCCCGAGGCAGAGCCGGGAGCCGCCTGAGCATCACAGGGAGCTTCCTGGCTGTCCCCGCTGCCCCTCCACACGGCAAGAACGCGCCCCAGTCTGCCTGCGCCACCTGTCCTGGCACCTGCACTGCCCTCCGCCTGCAGGATCAACGTTCTTCCCTGCCGCCTGTCCCGCGAGCCTCCTCCGCCCCCACGGCGCAGCCTCCTCAGAGGCCAGCACTCCCCAGTGGCCGCACTGGCGGCGCCCCGGGTCCTCACCTGCCGTGGGCGGCCGCCAGGAGCTTCAGGCAGGTCAGGTCCCCACTGACGGCCGCGTGGTGCAGCGGCAAGGCCCCCTCCAGAGTCTCCAGCGTGGCCGCGTGGCCCTCTCGGAGCAGCCACTGCACCAGCACGGGGTGTGCGAAGCGGGCGGCCAGGTGCAGCGGGGACACCCCCGAGTCGTCTTGGTCCTGCGGGGGCACAGAGGGGCCGTGAGCCGTGGCAGGTCCGGACCCACCCCTGCCGGGCCGCACCCTCCAGCGCCGGAGCCGGCCACTCAGCCCACACTGCGCGCCCGCCAGCCCGCCCGCCCACAGCTCCCGCTCTCCCCCCCTGCTGGCTGGGCCAGCGGACCTGCTCGAGGGAGGAGGCGGGGTGTGGGCTCACGTCCAGGTCTCCCGGGTCCAAACCCGTGACCCCGCTGCACCCCGGCCTCTCTGTACTCGGCTCGCAGCCAGAAGGGCTTCCGCTGGCCCAACTGTGTCCATGTCCGGCTCTGCGGCCTGCTGGTCTGTCCCCTACCCCTGCCGGGCCCCCACCTGCCCCCCCGGGGCCTCACGGCCAGAAGCATTCCCACCACAGGTGCCAGCTCACCCGGTGTGCTGTGCCCCCTGGCACAGAAGTGGGGACCGCCCCTGCCCTGCTGCCTCTCGGGCCGTGGGGAGAGCTGACGGGGACGGCGGTACGGAGGCCGCCGCACACTCAGCTGGGACCAGCGAGACTTCCCTGCCCCGGGACCCAGCGTGACCCCCGGTAGGGTGCCCTCGTGCCCTCTCAGGGCTTGTTCACTGTCCTCCCCGTCCTCCGGCTGCACAAAGGGACACCGGGCGGGCAGGAAAAGGGAGAGGAGGGCTGGAGACCCTTCTTCTTACCATGAGGGCTCTCAGCCCACCGCCCCCCACCACAGGGCTTCTGCTGTCACCCACCAAGGTCCCCAGTTGTACAAGCGGGTGCCCACAGCTCCTGAGCCCGTGTGCCACACCGCACTTCTCTACACACACCTTTCTAGACCCTGTGGGAAACAGGCCCCACGACCAGTCCTGAGGACACTGGCGAGCCCTCCACTGGCAAGGCCAGGCGCTCGGGTATGGAGGCCGGGTGCCCCTGTGTGGAGGCCAGGCTCGCTCATGTGGAGGCCACGTGCCCCAGGGTGGAGGCGGGCATGGGGAGAGAGTGCAGCCACTCTGTGCTGCTGGCCCCAGGGAACACGAGGTGGCTTAGGAGGCGGCCTTGGCTCACGAGGGCTTTGTGCTGGTTTGGGATGAGGCGGCCGTGGGGCAGGGACCGTGGGGCTGGCACGGCGAGTCCCCGAAACAACCCAGGGCCGCGGTGCCCACGGGAGCCCAAAGCTCCAGACTCCCTGGCCCACGGCTCCCGCCTCCCCTGATCCACGCGGACACTGGCCCCAGCCCAGCCGCTGTCCCGCTCACCTGCAGGCCGCAGCCTCCGTCGCGCACCAGCCAGCGCAGCTCGGCCAGGCTGCCCGTGGCCGCGGCATCGTGCACCGGCGTGGCCCCGTTGTGGGCCCGCTGGCTGCCGGGCAGCTCGGCCTGCCGCACCAGGAACTTGACGCAGGCCAGGCGGCCGGCCCGGGCGGCGTGGTGCACCAAGCCGGCCCCCAGGGCATCCACGATGCCCGGGCCCAGGGCACCGGCCTCCAGCAGCCGCTTCAGGGTGGCCAGGTCCCCGTCCTTGGCGGCCGCGAGCGCCCGCTGCCCCTCCATCCTCCGGCCCGACCACCCGGTGGCTCTCGGCGGCTCGCGCACAGGCCGCGGCTTCCTGTTTCAGGCGTGGACGCAGCTCCCAGCTCCGGTTACCGATAAGCGGCACACAGGGCAGATGGGAGGCGGCAGGGGGGTGCGGGGGCGGGGGGCAGGCTGTGGGGACTACCCAAGCCACTCCCACGGTGCCCAGAGCTGCGGTGGGCGGAGGGCCCGGGGCCCAGGGGAAGGGTCCGCACCGGGTCCGGGTCCGGCGGCTACCGTCCCGCGGCTGGACGATGCCCGTTTGTCCCTTGGAACCAGCGCTAAGGAGCTGCGCACCGTCCCTCATCCCGAGATGGACTTCCTGCGTCTGGTGTGTGTTCACAGTTACACGTGTCCCTCCAAGAAGGGGGGAGGCTCCCCAGCATCTGCTTCCTCGGGTCCGGGCAGCAGCCTGAGGCTGTGCTGGCCCAGGGGCGTGGGGGAGAGGCCGCCCGAGAGACTCCGCTCTTCACAGTGGGGCCCTCTCCGGGCCACTTACCAGCACATGAGCTGGAGTCTGCCCGTTCTGGCCACGTCTTCACCCAGGGAGCCGAGGGCCTTCAGCTGGCCTTAGACCTCGGAGGCTCCAGGAACCTCTGCGGTACAGCAGCTTTGCAGAGCCAGCAAGGGGCACAGGGCTCTGACACTGCACAGGAAGGCCTCCCAGGTGAGCGAGGGTCTCGGGGCCCCCGGCTCAGCCCAGTCCCCAGCCGCAGCGACCGAGTCTCCGGGGCTGCAGCTGGGGGTCCGCAGGGCAGTCTGAGCTGCCACGCGTCTTTCCCAGACTGCTCTCTTCACTGGGGCTGGACACCCTTCGTTTCTCGCTGGGCAAGTTGGGGTCACCGAGGCCTCTGCCCAGAGGCAGCAGGACGCTCAACTTTAGTGACCTGTTCCTAAGGGCCCCCAGACACACAACCTCAGGCTGAATTTCTTAAGCTGAAGCCTAATCATATGGTGACAAATTGGGGTCACTGCCCAACCCTCCAACTCCGCCTCCACGGCCGGCTCAGACACGCCATGAACCCCAGAGAAAACACCTGCTAGAGAAACCACAAAACGCCTCACACATGCACTGAAATATTTTATTAGTTCACCTAATTTCTGACAACTGTGGCCTCAATGTCATCACGTAGCTCTTTACACCTTAAAGCCACACGTGACAAGCGTTTATTCAATTAAAAAATCACTCTTGTGTTAAGTGTCTCCAGGAGCCTGAGCGCTGAGGCGTACCAGGACGCCACAGAGCACTTGTGACAATAAAAGAATCCTTCCGTGGATGAGATTATGATGCGGGCGGAGCCAGGGCCAGACTGACTCTCACTGCTCAGGAATGACCCCAAGCCCAGTCGTGCCCATGTCCGAGCTGAAGCCCTGAGTAATTGACCAAAAGGAAAAGACTGCGGGGCCTGAGGGCTGTGTGCAGGGAGGTGTGGGGGGGAGGTGCAGGGAGGGGCGCAGTGGCCGGAGGGCTGAGGGACAGGCGGGATGGGGAAGCAGGAGGACGCGGAGCAGGGAGTGGGGCCTGACTTTCGGGGGGCCCCCACCTGTCGAGCAAGGGCTTGCAGAGGGCCCTGGGCACGAGGGGAGGGCACACAGACGATTGCTGTGTAAACACGTAGGGGAGGCCGTGACTGCAGCAAAAATCAGGTTGCCTATTCTCATGATACGACCGACAATCGCTTGTAGATACTAGGATCTGTCTTCTGGATAAAAACGGCTCACCCCACTTCCCACGGGGGAGCACGTGGCCGAAACGTCTCCACCTCAATCGAGGCCACTGGGCAGCAGTGACGGTGACAGTCCCGCACAGGCATCTGTGTCCTGGGCCTGTGAGCACCTGTGGCGTCTGCCTGACCCGAGGACAGGGGAGGAGGCCTGAAGGCCTCACGCGCACGCATGCAGGTGCACACACACGCGCACACGCACACACACGCACGCACAGTCCAGTCGCTGTGTCAGACTCTCCGGGACAAAGTGAAGACTTGCACGGATTAAGATGGGAGCCGTCTGCATTGTGCCCACAAAGGGCTTCCTATGAGGCGCCCCTGGCGCCAGGCGGGCCCTCCAGCCGGGCCACGGCCTGCTTCAGGTCCTGCACGACGAGGTCCACCTCGGCCCTGGTGGTGCTGCGGCCCACGCTGAGCCGGAGCGCGTTCCTGGCCACGTCGAAGGGGATGCCGCAGCTCAGCAACACTGGGGATGGCCTGGGGGTGGGGGTGGGGGTGGGGAGAGCTGGCGTCAGCCGCTGGAGGAGAGGCTCTCCTGTGCTCCTGGGGGCTCGGGGAGGGACCCTGCCCCTTCTGCTCCCAGCCGGCTCCCCGACTTGGGGCTGCATAGACCTGCTCCCTTCTCTGCCAAGCACCTCCGGGCCCACCGCTGGTGCTCGGGCTCCACACGGCCCATCGGCCCCAGGGTAGGCGGGCACCAAGACAGCCCAAGCACCTGGGACACAGGGCTTCTCATCCTCGAGGAGAGTGACAGGTCTCTGGGGAGACACGCGGCTGCACCGAGAGGCGAGAGGCGGGGGTTGTGTTTTCCACAGCCCCCAGCGCCAGGCCCTGGCACACGGGGCCCCACCAGCGTTTTCAGAGTTTAGACACCACTCGTAGGGCGGCTCCGGAGCCCTTCGCTCCGGAGGGTTCACCGTTCGGGGCCCATGGGCCTCCCACACGCACAGTCCCGGGAGTCCCTGTCACATACGGTGCCCTGAAAACCGTCCAGATGAACACCCCTCGTGCACAGGGCTATGTGGAAGGGGTGACTTCCATCGCCCCTGGTCACCAAGGGTCCATGCAGGTGAGAGGTGACACAGCTCACGGCTCTTGGCTCCTGGCCCTCCCCTGGCTGGGTGGCGTCACTTCCTGTTCCCGAAGGGCACGGCCAGGGGGCAGTGAGCAGCTGCCTCCACCCCTCCCCCTCCTACCCTCGCAGGGGCCACCCTGGACACATGACCCTTACCTGCTGTGCTGTCGGCCCCTCCTCATCCTCCTCACTCCCCTCCCCCTCATCTTGGGGCTATCTCAGTTTCCTCATCTGGGGAATGGGCCGCTCGGATCCTTTCCTGAGGGCTGTGGGGAGCACCCTGAACCACGACTATGGGAGCACTTGGTAAGGGGCAGCTCCCTGCGCCCCCCTTCTGCACTCCACACCGGCCGGCCTCACTGCTCCTGACATTCACTCTGGCTGCCACATGCCGGCCCCTGGCCCCACCTGCCCTCATGCAGTGCCCCCTGCAGGGCTCTGAGGCCGCCAGGAGGCCCTGTCATCCCCACGCAGCCCTCAGGAGAGCTCTGGCCTGCCGCGCTCAAGCTCACATGCGTAGCCACAGACTCTGTGACACCCCGCTGCTGACCACGGCTCTGCTCTGTCTCTCCAGCACTGCGCCCGCCTCTGCGGCCCAACCCCCCACCCCCACTCACGGCAAGTGGGAAGCCGAACCCCTGCTCCTCCTCCACCGGGGTCCGGCCACTGCCGCCGATGCCCGGGCCCCACAGTTGTCTCCTCCTGCCTCAGCCATGGCTGCCTGCCTGGGCCTGCTGTCCTGTAATCCCCCTGCACCAGACAGGTGTCCACAGGCCTGTCTCAACCCTTCAGAAGACCCCCACTTTCTGAGGACGAAGGGAGCTCCTGCGGCCTGCCCTGCCCCTTCCTTCCCTCGCGACCTCCCTTAGGCTGCAGTTTCCCCTCCTCCCCTTGGCCCTGCGGCGTCTGGCCACTTTTTGTGTCCCCGTTGGCTGCGCAGCTCTGGAAACCCCAGGCCCAGTGGCCTGTCCTGGCTGCTGGATGCGCCCTGGACACCGCGGCCCAGCACCGGAGCACTTACCGATCTACCTGGTCCGAGTGGCAGGCGGCCCCCACACTGGCCAGCAGCGTCCTGCACTGTGCCAACAGCACACGGCCTGCGGAGACACGGCACGCGGCTCTGAGACGGATGGTGCAGGTGGGCCCCACCTGTCCACCTCTTCTCGGCCCTCCTGCCACGTTTTGAGGCCACCCCCCTCAGGCCACCTGGGGGGGCGGGGTGGTTCCAGGGCACAAGACCCTCTCATCCTAGGTGACCGGGCAGCAAAACCCAGAGAAAATGGCTCCTCTCGAACACGATGCTGCCTCATAAAACTGCCCTCGAAACGTTACTTCCGATCAAGTGCCCAGGAAGGATGCTCAGAATTCTCAGCAGCTGCCTTCCTTAATAGTAACACTTCCCGGTAGTAACACTTCAACGTAACATCTGTGTTTTCTGGAGGTGGAGCCACCCAGGGGGGTGGCTTTATTAAGGAAGGCACCTCCTTTTCTTTTGTAAGCACAGGGATTAAAATAATAAATCTACTGACTTAATTAAAAAAACAATCTCGGGCGCCTGGGGGGCTCAGTCGGTTGAGCGTCTGACTTCAGCTCAGGTCATGATCTTGCAATCTCTGAGTCTGAGCCCCGTATCAGGCTCTGCACTGACAGCTCGGAGCCTGGAGCCTGCTTCGGATTCTGTGTCTCCCCCTCTCTCTGCCCCTCCCCTGCTCATGCTCTCTCCGTCTCAAAAATAAACAACAACAAAAAAATCTGTCTCATTTAAATTAACATAGGTCATCACTGAATACAGTACATCTGCCCCCCAAAAATGGGGAAGGTGACAGGAACTTTCTTTCCCACAGCAAGGCGAGCCGGAGAGGCAGCCAACAGCCTAAGCTCCTTCGCAGCGAAAAAGCATCCAGCCCAGGTTCCCATCCGCTGTGGTCACGGCTGTGCCCCCCGCCCCCCTACATAGTGCAGCCACCCCCCTACATGGTGCAGAAGGGCTGCACTCCTCCCTGCAACCACCTCCTCCCTACACAGTCAGGACTGCTCTGCAGAGAGGCTCCCCTGTGCTGGGAAACAAGGCAGGTCAGCGCCCTGGAACTGGCCTCAGGGCACTGGGGGAGCCAGGCCTGATTTTCATCCCTGGGTTTCCAGGGGGCAACCACCTCCTCCCTACACAGTCAGGACTGCTCTGCAGAAAGGCTCCCCTGTGCTGGGAAACAAGGCAGGTCAGCGCCCTGGAACTGGCCTCAGGGCACTGGGGGAGCCAGGCCTGATTTTCATCCCTGGGTTTCCAGCAGGAGACCTGTCATCGCAGGAACGAACGAACCCCACAGACGTGCATTTCGTCCTGACTCTGGGCCAAATTTTAAAGCTGACCCCTCTCCTCTCCCTTATCCTCATAAGATATTGTGTCAAACCTGCTGACAGAAATGGACAAGCGGATCTAAAGCCTAGTCCCTGTCACCTCATTCCCCATCAGCTTGGGGCAGGCGCTTCGCCCAGGGTGCCACCTGCCCAGAGCAGTGAGCCCAGGCAGGGAGAGCAGGAAGCAGTGCACAGGGGCCCAGCCTCCTGGGGTCAGCAAGGCTGCGCTGCTCCCGGTGCCCCCACCACCCCACGCGGGACCTACAGACCCTGCTCACCTTGGAGCTGGGGTCCCCGGATGGAAAAGTTGCAGGTGTTGGGAAGTCGCTCAGTCCCTGGAAAGCGGCTGTTCAGATGGATTCTCTGCTTGTCAAATTCAGCCTGAAAAATCAATGGGGTGTTCAAGGGCGGTTTCAAAGCCCCTCCCCCCACCCCCATCAACGGTTTGACCTTGAGCCTTTTCTGGAAGACAAAATCCCAACCTCGTCACATAAAATAAGAATTTCATCAATAAGCAGCGACCCATAATAGTTACGGAAACTGGTAAGCAAAGTTAACAAGGTCAAAAATTCTGAATACGGTGGCTCTTCCCCGTGCAACCCCCAGATACACTAGTTCTGTGGCATTTCCCACACGCGGCGGCCGAGACCGGCCCACAGGCCTAGAGCCCATGCGGGGGGGGGGGGGGGGGGGGGGGGCGGGGGTGGTCGCCCCACCCCCCCCCCCCCTGGGCCCCAAGCCCCCCCCCCCGCCCGGCCCCCGGGGGGGGGGGGGGGGGGGGGCCGGACTCGGGCTTCTGTCCTCCAACCTCCCCCCTGATTGTCCTCAAAGCCCCCTGACCCGGTCAACCCCTGCCCTGTCTGCTGCCTGGGTGGCACCGACCTCCACCCTGACGGTCAACCGGGTAAAGATGGGGCTGACCGCATGCCCCGCCCCCGCGGATCCCGGGCTCACAGCCCCGCCCCCGCGGATCCCGGGCTCACAGCCCCGCCCCCCACCCCGTCCCGCGGATCCCGGGGTTCACCAGCAGCCTCTCCTCCAGGTAGTCGCGAACGTCTCTCATGTGGGCCTCGTAAGCCTCCCAGTTCTTGGTCACCAGCTCCGCAGCCTGGGGACACAGGAACAGCAGAGGGAAAAAGTATGCTCAGTTGTCCTAGAACAAAGGAGAATAAAGCAGCCTTCAAGAGTGGAGGTGAGATTTACTGATAACAGAGAAGTGACATTTCCTCACAGTGCTCATTTTCTGCAACATCAGGAATAGATCATGTTTACTGAGTGCGACCGTGTGCCAGGGGCCAGGATACGTGCTTCGGAAGTTATCTTCACCCGTTCAACAGGAATTTACTTTATCAGGCCCTGCCTGACACCTCCCGGCACCAGAGATCCTGCCGGTTCCAGCAGCTCCGTTCCAGAGACGAGGACAGCATCATGCAGACGGGGGCAGGGGGGTGGGGGTGGTTGTGCACAGAGTGAGGGTGTTCACGGCCACGGCAGAGGGAGAGGGAGGGGCAGGTGTGTTCCCAGCACAGAGTGACGGAGGGGGACAAGGCCGGGGCGCCCAGGACAGACAGGATCAGGAGCTAAGTGCAGACTACAGATGGGGATGACCCGGTCCAGCCGGGTAGGCCCTGGAGACGCACAGGCCGCAGACCTCAGTATATTGGGGAGACAGGACGCAGGACTCACTGGCTGCTCATCAGGTGCAGGGGACGAGGACCAGGCAGGACAAGGCATCTCCTAGATTTCTCCAATGAGGTGCTGGATGGCGGCAGGCACCATGGAGAGGGAGGGGAGCCAGGGAGGAGACGCCTGTGCCCGCCCAGCGGGAATGCCAAGTAAGCAATGGGGGATGTGGGTCTCTCAGGAGAAAGGTCAGGACCTGCCGTGAGATGCCACGTTCAAAGCCCTGAGCACAGGCTGGTGGTGGAGCTGCAGGACAGGGGGAGAGCCCCGAGGGCGATGTTAGTTGTGGAGAGGAGGCTGGGGGGGCATCAGGAGGTTGGCCGGCAGGCCGCATGGCGGTGGGAAGGCTGGGGAGGAGGCTGCAGGGCGGCCGGAAAGGCAGTCTGGAAAGCTGGGAACATTCTAGTGGAGAGGCACAGGAGGAGGTGCACGGAGGACACAGGCAGGAGGGGCGGTTCCTCGGGAAGCGCACAGGAAGGGAGGGGAGCTGGGAGGACACCCAGACCGGCCTGGGAGTCATCTCCGGGGAGTGGGGCCCGGGCTGGGAAAGGGGGGACAGTCAGAGAATGCGGGCGAAGGTGCAGCTGCAGCAGGGAGCTGAGGTGCCAGCATATGGGATCTCCTGCTGCAAACGCCACCCTGGAAGGACAACCAGGGGGTTGCCGGGGCGGCCCGGGGGCCCAGCAAACCTGTGGGCCTGACCTTTGGTCTCTGCTGTGAAGACATGACTATATTTCTCATATCAGCAGAGGCTTGAGGAAAGAGCTTTTCGCTTTCAATGCTAAGCACGTGCAACCCACTCTACAGAACTCAAAAAGTATACTTCCGGGATGATGAATATAATTTGAGGCTTTTTCTAACATCAGTCCATTTATTGGGCTCACGAACATGATCTCTCCCAAAGTCCTGGGGAAATAGATCATGAGATGATGGAAAAAAATAGGTCTCAGTGCCTGGGTCCCGGCACAGAGCTCCTGAGACCCCTGTAATTTCCTAAGTGATAAGAGCTAGGAGCACCTCTTGTTCTAGTATTTAGACTTCGGTTCTTGACACAGTGTTCCTAAACCCCTCGGGATTTCCCAGGAGATACGAGTATCTTTTATTCTAACGTGGAGACTCCGGGTGGGCTCTGGGAGGGCACGGGTCACTGAATCATTAGAGGCTTGGAATTTTCACCCCGCTACCACATTCTCCGGAGGGGGTGGGGGGGCGCTAAACATGGAGTGAAGGACTGATCAGAGCCTCCACAAAAATCCCAATAGCGTGGGTCTAGAGAGCTTCTGGGTTGCTGAACACATGCAGGTGCTGCTGGGATAGCACCTCCCCCACACCTTGCCCTGCGCGTCTCTTCTGTCCGGATGTCTGTCTCCTTTATCACATCCTTTCACACTCAACGAATCATCTAGTGAGCAAAGTGTTTCTGTAACTTCCGTGAGCCGTTCTGGAAAACTAACTGAACCCGAGGAGGGGGTCACGGGAACCTCAGATCTATAGCTGGCTGCTGGGACAACTGGCGTGTGACGTGGGGCTGGTGGGGGCAGTCGTGGGGGCCTGAGCACTTGGCCTGCGGGGTCTGACGCCATCTCCAGGTAGACAGTGTTAGAGTTGAGTTAAACTGTAGGACACCCAGCTGGTGCCCCAGAATTGTCCCGTGGAAGCCTCCCCCCCTGCACCACATCAGGTGTCGGGGTGTTGTGCATGGGGGAGTAAAGGGGACACCCCTGGAGCAAGACTCAGGTTTTCCTACACATGAGACAAAGCACCCGCTTCACCTGTCCAAGCTCAGCAAGGCTTACCTTCCCAAGGCCGGCAATCATTGGGGTGTTCTCTGTCCTGTAAGAGACAAGGGATTCATTCAATCCTATTTCCATGCAAAGCAACTAGCAAGTGTCCCAGGAAGGAATCCTGTCTGCAGAAGTCATGAATTAAAATAAAAACAAAATTACACCAACATTTTTCCTAGACATGTGCCATGTGGCTGCCTCAGTGGCAGCCGTAGGCCCCCAAACCCTCCATGTGGACACTCCCAGTCCAGTCCCAGTTGACACGGCCCATCTTGGGCAATATTATGTTGGGTGTCCGCAGTGACCATTCTGTCTGGATCCTCTTCCCACCCAGGAAAGACCCCTCCTCCAACTGCAGACCCCAGGGCCTGCCTCTTTGGGCCTCCCTGTCGAACCAGGCAGGGGTCCAAAGACCTCAGCTCAACACTGCTCCCTTCAGCTGAAGCTTCTCAACTATCATACGGGACGAATCCTTTGTTATTAGAGATTGTGTGTGTGCAGGAGAGGGACAGGAGGGCCCCTGCAGGCGGGTGGCTCTCGCTCAGATCTAACAAGCTAAAAGCAGAACTCTTCGCTCTATTTTCATTAACTTATTAATTTTCTTAATTTTAAGTTTTGGCTACACAAAGTTTTCGTAAACATTTGGGGCTGGCGGCTGCTTGCTGCCCAGGAGATAAGGGGACAAGTGAACTCGAAGCGCAGGGTAGTACAGGTAACGTGACCCTGCTGAGCTTCCTTTGACAAGTTTATTGGTCAGTTGTGTCCCCGGAGACAGGCTCTGACACCTGGGGAAGGTCCGGGACATTCCCTCTTTAGACCTCACCCCACTCACCTGTAGGGCTCGTCCAGACCAAGAGCACCTCTCAGAGGCCTACCACCTGTGACTGCCTGGGCAGGGGCTGCCCACGTGGAAGAGTCAGGACCCCGTGTAGAACCTGGAGCCTTCCCTCCCTCGGGGCGTTCGGGTAGCCCTCTACCCTCCATCTAGAGCAACGCAAACCCTGCTTCCTCCTCCCTGTCCACCTACTGAGCTTCCAGAACACCTGACGTTCTGCCCTTTTTTTTTAAACTTTTTTTTTTTTTAAGAGAATGTAGAGTCAGATGTGGTTATAAGAAATACTACAGAGGCATTCTGTCACTCAGCTTTGCCCTAATAACACTATAGCACAAGATCACAACCCGGATACGGATAAGATACAGAACATTTCTGCCACAAAGGTCCCCCCGTTGGCCTTTTATAACCAGACCAGCCTCCCTGCAGCCCCACTGCTTCCTTAACTCCTGGCAACTGCTAATCTGTCCGCCACCTCTAATTTTGTCGTTTTCAGAATGTTCTATAAATGGAATTAGAGAGCTATACCTTTGGGGCATTGGCTTTTTTCATACACCATAATTCGCCGGAGATTCTGGGCTGTCGTGTGTATCAAGAGTGAATTCTTTCTCGTTACTGGGTAGCGTCCACGGTACAGATGTGCCACAGCCTTTTAGGCCACTCACTCATTAATGGACATCTGGGTTGTTTGCACTTTGGGGCTATTATAAATAAAGCCGCTATACACACTCGTGTACAGATTTTTGTGTAAATACAAGTGTTCATTCTCTGGGATGAATGTCCAGGAGTGAAATTCCTAGGTTGTATGATGGGTGCATATTTAATTTTAAAAGAAACTGCCAGGCTGTTTTCCAGAGCGGGTGGACCACTTCAAACTCCCATCAGCCGTGTATGAGTGATGCCGTGTCTCTGTACTCTCAGCACTCGGTGTTGTCACAGGGTTTTGTTTTAGTCATGCTGATAGGTGTCGGATGATGCTCACTGAAGTTTTCTTTTGCATTTCCGTAATAGCTAATGATGTTGATTATCATTTCATGTGCTTCTTTGCTGTCTGTGTATCTTCTTTAGTGAAATGCCTGTTTATGTCTTTCGCCCATTTTTTGACTGAATTGTTTGGGATTTGGGGCTGTTGAATTTTGAGTGTTTTTTATATATACTAGATACTAATCCTTTGTTGAAGCCATCATTTGAGAACCTATTCTCCCAGTGCACAGCTTGTCTTTTCATCCTCTTAACAAAGTCTTTTGCAGGGTGAAAGTTTTAAATCTTGATGAAGTTCAGTTTATCAATTTTCCTTTTTATGGATACTTTTGGTATCAAGTCTAAGATCTCTTTGCTGAGCCCTAGAGCCTGAAGATGTTCTCCTGTTTTTGTTTTCTAAAAGTTTTATAGTTTTATGTTTTACATTAAGTTCATCATGTATCTTGAGTTAATATTTTATAAGATGTGAGACTTAGATGGAGGGTGGTTTCCTGACCAAGGATGTCTAATTGGTCTAGCACCATCTGTTGAAAGAGAATCTTTCCTCCACTGAATTACGTTTGTATCTTTGTCAAAAATCATTTCGGCATATTTCTGATTGTATCTATTCTGTTCCATTGGTTTACTTGCTGGGTTTTTGTCAGAGACTGGACTAAACATTTACCAGTTTGGGGAGAATTGACATCTTTATATACTGAGTCTTTTGATCCATGAACAGAGTATATCTCTCCACTTACCTAGATCTTTGCTCTCTTTTATCCACATCGTGTAGTTATTGGCTTACAAGTCCTGTACGCATTTTGTTAGCTTTCTATTTTTGAGTAATTATAAACGGTATTGTATTTTTTAATTTTGTTGTTCATATGTTCATTACCAATGTACAAAAATATGGTTGATTTTTGTATGTTTGTATTGTAACCTGTGATCTTGCTGAATTCACTTATCAGTCTTAGGCGTTTTCTTATATACTTCTTGGGATTTTCTACAGAGACTATAAATAGGGACAGTTTTACCTCTTCCTTTCCAATCTGTATCCCTCATATTTCCTTTTCTTGCCTTCTGCACTGACTAGAACTTCCAGAACTGTTGAAAAAGAGGTAAGCGTGGACATCCCCAGATTGTTCCTGATCATAGGGGTAAAACATTCAGGCTTTGACTACTGAGTATGATGTTAGTTGTAGATTTTCTTGTAAATGCCCTTTTCAAACTGAAGAAGTTCTCTGGTCATATCATTGTGAGACTTCTTAATGAATAAATGTTGAATTTTGTTAAATGCTTTTTCTACATTAAATGATGTTATTTTTCTTCTTTACTATGCTATATTGCATAGATTGATTTTTGAATACTGAACCAGCCTTGAATTCCTGGAACAAACTCCATTTTATCGTGGTGTGTGTATTATTTTTATATATTGCTGAATTCCATTTGCTAATATTTTGTTCAAGATTTCTGCATCTGAATTCATGAGGGATATCTGGTCCATAGTTTTATTTTATTTATTTATTTAAAAAAATTTTTTTTCCAACGTTTTTATTTATTTTTGGGACAGAGAGAGACAGAGCATGAACGGGGGAGGGGCAGAGAGAGAGGGAGACACAGAATCGGAAACAGGCTCCAGGCTCTGAGCCATCAGCCCAGAGCCTGACGCGGGGCTCGAACTCACGGACCGCGAGATCGTGACCTGGCTGAAGTTGGACGCTTAACCGACTGCGCCACCCAGGCGCCCCCATAGTTTTATTTTTTTATACCACCTTTGTCTGGTTTGGGTATAAATTCATAAAACGAATTGGGGAAATGTTCCTTCCTCCACTTTTCTAGAAGAGACTGCATAGAAATGGTGTTAATTCATTAAATGTTTGGCAGAATTCTCTCATGAAACTATCTGGCCCTGGAGATTTATTTTTAGAGGGATTTAAAGTTACAAAATGGGGGCGCCTGGGTGGCTCAGTTGGTTGAGCGTCCGACTTCAGCTCAGGTCATGATCTCACGGCTCGTGGGTTCAAGCCCCACATCAGGCTCTGCGCTGACAGCTCAAAGCCTGGAGCCTGCTTTGGATTCTGTGTCTCCCTCTCTCTCTGCCCCTAACCCACTTGCATTCTGTCTCTGTCTCTCTCAAAAATAAACATTAAAAAAATTTTTTTTTAATTACAAAATGAATCTCCTTTTCCTAATAATTATAAAGCTATTTAAATGATCTACTCTCATATTAAGTGAATTGTAGTAGTTTTTTTTTTTTTAAATTTTAAAAAATGTTTTATTTTTGGGAGACACAGACACACAGCATGAGTGGGGGAGGGGCAGAGAGAGAGGGAGACACAGAATCCAAAGCAGGCTCCAGGCTCTGAGCCATCAGCACAGATGTGGGGCTCAAACACAAGAACTGTGAGACCATGATCCAAGCCACAGTCAGATGCTTAACTGACTGAACCACCAGGTGCCTCAGTTCTTCAAATTTATTGAGGTTTGTTTAATGGCACAGAACATAGTCTATCTTAGTATATATCCTATGGCACTTGTAAAGAATGTATATTTTGCTGCTGTTGGATGAAGTGTTCTAAACACTTCAATCGGTTGGTTGTTGGGTATGACTGAGTTCTTCCATATCCTGGCTGACTTTTGTCTGGTTGTTGTATCCGTTGTTGACAGAAGGATGTTGACGTCTCCAAGTGCAATTGTGGGTTGACTATTTCTCTTTTCATTCAGTTCAATCTGTTTTTGCCTCACACTATTTTGCAGCTCTATCGTGCAGTGCATTGACATTTAGGATTGCTAGGACTTCTTGGTGGACTAACTCTTTAATCATTATGTAATGTCCCCTCTGTGTCTCTGGTAATTTTCTCTGCTCTAGAGTCTCCTTATCTAATGTTATATAGCCATTCCTGCTTTCCTTTGATTAAGGTTTGTCTGATACATATTTTTCCATTTTTTTAATTTTCAGCCATCAGTATATGTGAAGTGAGTTTCTTAAAGATAGCATATATACTTGACCCTTGAACAACACAGGTTTGAACACTATGCGTCCACTTTTATGCAGGTTTTTTATAGTACTATAAATGTATTTTCTCCTCATAATTTTTGCCATATTTTCTTTTTGCTAGCATACTGTATTGTGGAGAATATACTGTATAATACGTGTGACATACAAAATATGCATTGACTGCTTATGTTGTCAGTAAGACTTCTAGTCAACAGTAGGCTATTAGCCGTTAAGTTTGGGGGGAATTTAAAAAGTTACATGCAGATTTTCAACTGTGCAGGGGTTGGCACCACTAACCCCTGTGTTGTTTGTTCAAGGCTCAACTATAGTTAGGTCAATTTTTTAAAAAATTCACTCTGCCAAGCTCTGTCTTTTAATTGCTACATTTAGATCACTTACATTTAATGTAATTAACATGTTAGGGCTTAGGTCTGCCATTAAAATTTTTTTTCTGTTTATTCTGTTTTTTTATTTCTCTGTTTTCTTTTTCCTACCTCCCTGTGGGTTATTTGAACATTTTTGAGATGTTCCCGTGAGTAGAACCTTACTTCCATTTACATCCTTTTAGCCCTCCCCCATTTATAATTATCCTAAATATTTCTTCCACATATATTTTGAACCACATTAGACAGGGCTATCATTTTTGCTTCAGCCATCAAATATAATCAAGAAAACTCAAGAGGAAAGCCTATTTTATTTACCCATAACATGCTTCGTTCCCTTCCCTTTCCTCCCTTCCTTTCTGATGTTCCAAGTTTCCTTTTTTTTTTTTTTACTATTTCCTTTCTGTTTAAAGAACTCCCTTTTGTCATTTTTAGCACTGGTCTTCAGAGGACAAATTCCGCTAGCTTTCCTTTACTTGAGAAGGTCTTGCTTTCCCCTTTGTTCCTGAAGGGTATTTCTGCGTGTATAGGATTCTGGCTTGACAGTGCTTTTGCAACATATTGCATCACTTCCTTCTGGCCCCCCGGGGTTTCTGATGAGAAATACACTGCCATTTGAATTACTTTTACTCTATAGGAAAGGTGTCATTTTTTTTTTCCTCTAGCTGCTTTCAAGATTTTTACTCTGGCTTTCATTTTCAGAAGTTCAACTATATGCCTTGGCATAGATTTCTTTTGGTTCATCCTGCTTGGGGTTTGTTCAGCTTCCTGAATCTGTAGGTATATGTCTCTTGCCAATTTGGGAAGTTTTCAGCCATTTTTTTTTTTCAAGTTCCTTCTCATCCCCACCCTTTCTCCTCTCGTTCTGGGACACCAATGAAATGAATGTTAGATTTTCTGTTATAGTCCCACAGGTCCTTGAGGCATGGTTTCAGTTTTTTCCAGTCTGTTGCCTCCCTGCTGTTTGGATTGGGTAACACTGTTGTTCTCTTTCGGTTCACAGCCTCCTTCCTCTGGTGCCCCTATCCTGCCGGTGAGCCCATCCACGGAGCTTCGGACTTTGGTTGCTGTAGCTTTTAGCTCTAAAATTTCCATTTAGTTCTTCTTCACGTTTTCTTTTTCCTCGCTGACACTTCCATTGGTGTTTCTGGGTTGCAGGCTTCATCAGTTCTAAGTCAGGAGAAAGGACGCAAAAGAAAACCCAAGGAACCCACCACCATGTTCTGGTTTCTGCTTCTTATTAGCATTTCTGATAAGAGGCGTGGTCCTGGCTAAAGTACCACTGTGTGTCAGAAAGGAGCTGCCAGAAAGGAAACAAGTGCTTCTGTGAGCCCCGCTCATCCCACGGTCATGAGCACAGCAGTACATCTCAGTAAGGAGGGCTCCCGTGTTGAATCATCCCCATAGAGACCGAAGATCTGGGAGTCCTAAGGGCAGAATCCATCAGTGGGGCAAATTCTGACTCAGTAGTGACAGAGAATGGGCTATTACAGTTCTTCCGAGAGACAAAGACAAGTTACTGCCCTACAGACCAAGAGTATCACCAGTAGGTCAGAAACTTCTCTTAACCTTCTATCTTACCCTGGCCTGAAATTCCGTTCCTGTCCACCTCCAAACAGCATAGGGTACAGAGGGGTAAGTTCACCGAGTCCGCGGACGTAAAGTGCTCCAATCCTGGGACCATAGAACTGGAAAGAAAGGTCGGTCACTTATTCAACAAGAACCTTCCGAGTTCCTACTCTGTACACGTGCTGAGTGCTTAGAGGCACCCAGAGAAATCCTGTGTGCTGTGTAAGCCCCACAGCCGTGCTACCTGTCACCATTCTGGACGTGCCGGAGTCAAAATCGCCTTCGGGGTCCAGGGCGGAGCCTGCACTCCTGTTCCCAGCCCAGTGGCAATACAGCTTGACTGCACATCACAGAACAGAATTCATAAAAGGAGAGCGGCTGGAACTAGAGATTGCCAAGGGCTTTTCCTGGGTACGACTCCACGTTTTTGAATCATCATTTTGCAAAAATCAGTTAAGAGCCACGGCGTCAGGTCGGCACACATACTCCTTTGGAAACTAGCTGAGCACCATGCTTCAAAATAGAGGATTAAAACTACTTGAGGTTCCGGTCCACTGCCAGAAAGATGAGCAAAGCCTCAGAAGGGCGTTCCCTGCTCACATTTCTCTCTTCCACCGTAAAGAGAAGAGCTGAACCTCTGCGTTCAGGAGCCGCGCTTTCAATCAAGTTAGAGAAGGCAACGTCTTGAACCCCACCTCTTCCGTCCCCGGGGCGGCGGAGGCGGGGGACACGAGGGCTGGCGAGGGGTCTGCAGGCACTCTCTGCCCACGGCAGAGAACACTCACTACCTGGCTAAAGCCACCTGCCTTATGTCTCACCTGAGCCCTCAGTACCCTCCCACAGCCCTGCCTGGCAGGCCCCTCCTGCCCCACTCTCCCCCCCGTGCCACACATCAAACGGCACTCCAGCTGCTGCTGGCCCCCCTTCTTTAGCCCCCGCGGGCGGGGGCCGCGGGCTGCTGCACCATGTCCCCCGGGCGCCCTGGATGACAAACGGATGATCAGTGGCGCTGTGGGCCCTGCTCTAAGGTGAGCCTCGAGGTCACGGGGGGGAGGAGGCCTCTGTGGATGCACCTTGTGCCCCACGATGGTCAGGAAGTCCACGCCCAGAACCTCCACGTCCACGCGCCGTTTCCCCAAGGCCTGCGCGGCGTCCGTGTGCACCAGAATGACAGGCAGTCCGGAAGCTGTCCGCTTCCGGTTCAGGGCTTTGATTCGCTGACTGATTTCAGCAATGGGCTGAAGCAGGGAAAAAGAAACAGTTGAGGATGTTGCTTTGATTTCATGAAAACCCAGTGAAAGAAACACAGAGTCACGAAGGAGGACAGGCGACAAACAAGAAAAACGAGAGGAAGAGGCCCCAGGTGTGGTGCCTGAGAAAATCAAGCAGAGCGTGGGCTCCCTTCATCCCGCGCTACGTTTTCTTAAAAGGATAAACAACTCACCATGATGACGCCAGTCTCGTTATTGGCCAGCATGACCGTCACGAGGCACGTGGCCGGGCGGACGGCGGCCAGGATGTCCTCAACCTCCACCTGCCCGCTCACCTTGGACACCGGCACAAAGGTGACCGCTGAGGAAAAGACCCAAGGACCGAGGTTAATCTTACGAAATAACCTCTGCTGAAAGTTCATTTAGATACAGCTTAACAAAAGTATTTCCACATTAAAAAGTAACCGATTGTAAAAGTTCCAAAACCGATCAAGAAGGAGTATAAGCCACCCGTTATCACGGTGCCCAGAAACAGCCAACCTGAAGGCTCCTCTCATGCCACTTCCGTCGCTGATCATCCGTGGGACACACTCCCCATTCGGCTGTGGAGGGGCCCAAGAGGAGGTAATCCGCTCTTAGCTCATGAGAGCATCTTTTTTCTCTCCTATGTTTTTAAGTTTATGCATTTATTTTTGAGAGAGGCAGAGAGGGAGAGGGAGAGAAGGTGAGAAAGAGACAGAGGAGGGACAGGGAGACAGGGAGAGAGAATCCCAAGCAGGCTCCGCACTGTCAGTGCAAAGCCTGATGTGGGGTTTCAATTCACGAACCATGACATCATGACCTGAGCAGAAGGCAAGAGTCGGACGCTTAATCAACTGAGTCACCCAGGTGCCCCAAGGGCATCTTTGTTTAAAAAAAATTTATCTTAGGGGCACTTGGGTGGCGCGGTCGGTTCGGTGTCCGACTCTCAATTTCGGCTCAGGTCATGATCTCACGGTTCATGGGATTTAGCTCTGTACTGACAGAGCCTATTGGGATTCCCTCTTTCTCTCTCTGCCCCTCCCCTGCTCGCACATACATGCATGCTGTCTCTCAAAAAAATTTTTAAAAATTTTAATTCCACTATAACTAACCTACAGTGTTATATTGGTGGCAGGTGTACAATGTAGTGATGCAACAATTCTATACATTACTCCGTGCTCACGAATCCCCTTCACCTGTTTCACCCATCCCCCCACCCACCTGCCCACTGGGAACCACCAGTGTGTTCTCTATAGTTGAGAGTCTGTTTTTGGTTTGTCTTTTTGAATTTGTTTGTTTTCTTTCCTAAATTCCACGTATGAGTGAAAACATATGGTATTTGTCTTTCTCTGCGTAACTGGTTTCATTTAACATTATATTCTCTAGTTCTACCCATGTTGTGGCAAGTGGCAAGATTTCATTATTTTTTATGGCTGAGTAATATTCCATGGTGTATATATACATCTTTGCCATCCATCTATCAGTGGGCACTTGGGCTGCTTTCAGATCTTGGCTATTGTAAATAACACCATAATAAACATAGGAGTGCTTATACTTTTTCAAATTAGGGTTTGCACATTCTTTGGCTAAATACCCAGTAGTGTGATTACTGGATCATATGGTAATTCTATTTTAAATTTTTTGAGGAACCTCCATTCCGTTTCCCACGGTAGCTACGCAGTCTGCATTCCCACCAACAGTGCATGAGGTTCCTTTCTGTCCACATCCTCGCCAACACTTGTTGCTTTTGTGATTTTTAATTTTAGCCATTCTGACAGGCGTGAGGCGACATCTCACTGAGGTTTTGACTTGCATTTCCCTGATTATTAGTGATATTGAGTATCTTTTCATGTGTCGGCCATCTGGAGATCTTCTATAGAGAAATGTCTGTCATGTCTTCTGCCCATTTTTTAATTGAATTATTTGATTTTTTGATGTTAAGTTGTATAAGTTCTTTATATGTTTTGAATACTGACCTTTTATTGGAAATATCATGTGCAAAATTTCCTCCCATTCAGCAGTTTTTCTTCTTCTTTTGTTGATTATTTCCTTCACTGTGCAGAAGTTTTTTAATTTTGTTGTAGTCCCAGTAGTTTATTTTTGCTTTTGTTTCCCTTGCTTCAGAAACATATATTGAAAGAAGTTGCTACGGCTGGCATCAAAGAAATTACTGCCTGTGCTCTCTTCTAGGATTTTTATGGTTTCAGGTCTCACATTTAGGCCTTTAATCCGTTTTGAGTTTACTTTTGTGTTTGGTGTAAGAAAGTGGTCCAGTGTCGTTCTTTTGCATGTAGCTGTTCAGATTTCCCAACACCACTTGTTGAAGAGAATGTCTCTTTCACATGTCATGTTCTCTCCTACTTCGTCAAAGACTAATTGACCGTATAATTGTGGGTTTATTTCTATTGTGGGTTTTCTATTCTAGCCCATTGACCTATGTGTCTATTTTGTACCAGCACCATACTGTTTTGATCACTACAGCTCTGTGGTATATTTTGAAAGCTGGGGTTGTATTACCTCTAGTTTTGTTCTAATTGTTCAAAACTGCTTTGGCTATTTGAGGCCTTTTTGATCCCATACAGATTTTAGGATTGTTTGTTCTAGTTCTTGAACAATGCTTTGGTATTTTGATAGGGACTGCATTAAATGTGTAGATTGCTTTGGGTAGTGTGGGCATTTTAAAAATATTTCTTTTCCCAACTCATGAGCATGGAGTATCTTTCCATCTTTGTCGTCTTTGATTTCTTTTCTCAGTGTTTTATGGTTTTCAGAGTATAGGTCTTCCATCTGTTTGCTTATTCCTAGGTATCTTACTGGTTTTGGTGCAATTGTAAACGAGACTGTTTTCTTAATTTCTCTTTCTACTACTTCATTATTAGCATATAGAAATGCTATGGGTTTCTGCATATTGGTTTTGTATCCTGTGACCTTACTGAATTCATTTATCATTTCTAGTAGGTTTTTGTGTGTGTGTGAAGTTCTTGGTGTTTTCTGTATAGAGTATTCTGTCAACTGCAAATAGTGAAAACTTTTACTTCTTCCTTACCAATTTGGATGCCTTTTATTTTTCTGATCTGAGTGCTGTGGCTAGGACTTCCAGTACTGTGTGGTGAGAGTGGATGGCCTTGTCTCATTTCTGATCTTATGGGGAAAGCTCTCAGTTTTTCACTGCTGAGTATGATGTTAGCTGCGGGTTTTTCACATTATGTTGAGGTATGTTCCCTCTGAACCTACTTTGTTGAGGTCATGTTTTATCATGAATGCATGTTGCGTTTTGTCAGATGCTTTTTCTGCATCTATTAAAATGATCATATGGTTTTTATCCTTTCTCTTGTTGAGGTGATATATCATGTTGATTGATTTGTGAATTTCAAACCACCCTTGCATCTCAGGAATAAATTCCACTTGATTGTGGTGAACGATTTTCTTAATTGTATTGTTGGATTTGGTTTGCTAATATTTTGTTGAGAATTTTTGCATCTATGTTCATCGGATATATTGGCCTGTAGTTCTCTTTTTTTTTTTTTTTTTTTGTAGTGTCTTTATCTGCTTTTGGTATCAGGGTAATCCTTCTTCTGTTTCTTGGAATAGTTTGAGAGGAATAGGTATTAACTCTTCTTTAAATGTTTGGTAGAATTCACCTGTGAAGCCATCTGGTCCTGAATTTTTGTTTGTTGGGAGTTTTTGATTACTGATTCAATTTCATTGCTGGTCACTGGTCTGTTCAAATCTTCTACTTCTTCCTGCTTCAGTTTTAGGAGGTTGTAGGTTTCTGGGGACTTATCCATCTCTTTTAGGTTGTCCAATTTGTTGCCATACAATGGTTCATAATATTCTCTTATAATCTTTTGTATTTCTGTAGTGTTGGTTGTTATTTCTCCTCTTTTATTTGTGACTTTGTGCGGGGTTATTTTTTATTTTCATGAGTCTGGCTAAAGGTTTATCGATTTTGTTGATCTTTTCAAAGAACCGGCTCCTAGTTTCACTGATCTGGTTTTTGTTTTGTTTTTAGTTTCTATTCCATTCATTTTTGCTCTAATCTTTATTATTTCCTTCCTTCTCCTGGTTATGTGTTTTGTTTGTTTATCTTTTTCTAGCTCCTTTAGGTGTAAGGTAACATTGTTTATTTGAGATTTTTCCTTGCTTCTTGAGCTAGGCCTATATTGCTATAAATTTCGCTCTTTGAGCAGCTTTCGCTGCATCTCAAATTCTTTGGACTGTTGTGTTTCAGTTTCATTTGTCTCCATGTATTTTTTAATTTCTTTTCTGAAGTGGGTTGACCCACTCACTGGTTAGTAGCATGTTTTTTGTTCTCTTTCCAGAGTTTTTCTTGTGGTTGACTTCTAGTTTCATCGCATTGTGGCTGGAAAAGAGGCATGGTATGACTTCAGTCTTTCTTAATTTGTTGAGACTTGTTTTGTGGCCTAACATGTGATCTTTTCTGAAGAATGCTCCAAGTGCACTTGAAAAGAATGTGTAATCTGATGTTTCAGGATAGAATGTTCTGAATATATCTGTTAGATCTATCTGGTCCAATTTGTCATTCAAAGCCACAATTTCCTTATTGACTTTTTGTTTGGATAATCAATCCATTGATGTAAGTTGGTTGTTAGATCTCCCTACTATTATTGTATTACTATGGATTACTTCCTTTGTTGTTAGCGGCTTTAGGTATTTGGATGCTCCCACATTGTGTGCATAAATATTTACACACATTGTAAATGTGTAAATGTTGTATCTTATTAGATTGTTCCCTTTATGATTATTTAGCGTCCTTCTTTGTTTCTTGTTATAGTCTTTGTTTGAAAGTCCATTTTTTTCAGGGCACCTGGGTGGCTCAGTAGGTTGAGTGTCTGACTCTTGATTTCACCTCAGGTCATGATCCTAGGGTTGTGGGATTGAGCCCCATGTTGGGTTCTGCGCTGAGCATGAAGCCTGCTTGAGACTCTCAATCTCTCTCTCTCTCTCTCTCTCTGTCCCCCCCCCCCCACACACACTCTCAAAAGTAAGTAAATAAACATTAAAAATAAAATAAAATAAAGTAGTAGTATGGTAAGACCATAAAGAGAAAAACTCTCCTACCAGTCCAACGGGAAAATCAACAAAAAGCCTTCATCGTCAAGTGGAGCTTCATGGCATTGTGTCCTTTATCATTATGATAAAAATACTTTCCCGTGATTCACCTTCAGGTTTCCAGGCAGATGGAAGAAGGAGGCTGAGACGTCAGTCTGTTTAAAATTTTTTTTTTCAACGTTTTTTATTTATTTTTGGGACAGAGAGAGACAGAGCATGAACGGGGGAGGGGCAGAGAGAGAGGGAGACACAGAATCGGAAACAGGCTCCAGGCTCCGAGCCATCAGCCCAGAGCCTGACGCGGGACTCGAACCCACGGACCGCGAGATCGTGACCTGGCTGAAGTCGGACGCTTAACCGACTGCGCCACCCAGGCACCCCTACGTCAGTCTGTTTAAAGGAAAGTGTTTACCCGGGCTGTCTTGAGGGAGCAAAAGGCTCTTAGTTTTCAAAAGTCTGCGGTCTGCACCCGGTGTCTCAAGACTTCGTATCACAGGGGAAGGGAAAGGTGCCCAGGGCTGCTGCTGGCCAAGCTCGCCCGACCCCGCGGCCTGCCTGGCTAGTCGCGCCCACTGTGTCGAGCTGAAGTCGTGCAGCAGAAGCACAGTTATTCTTGTGTTTACCCCGAAGCTGATATCTATTTGACCCTTGTTCTTCACAGAGAAAGGAGCCAAGATTTAATTAATATCCAAGTGAAGAGCCCTGCTTAGCACTGATAGGCATACGATTTCACTATGTGCATACCTGTTACGTACAAGAGTCTGAAGTATCATTCAGTAAATCAGATGACTAGTTCTACACGCTGATGACCCAGTTTGTCCCTAAGGGGGAAACTGGCAGCATTTACAGTTTACAGATTACCCCCATGTGGGAACAGGCCGTGTGGCCCCTGCACCTGAGGACCGCATGCAGGAGGGCACATGATTCCGCAGGTCCCAGGGGCAAGTTCCTCCTCTTGGAATCCGGTACTGGAGGTAAGCGGAGCTGCCCCGCGGGAATCCCGCCAGGCTGGTCACTCACCGGCCACCTGCTCTTTCGCCAGGTGCTCCAGGGGCAGGCGGATGGAGTCGTGTTCCACGGTGCAGGTGACGAGGTGGGGCACGGCCCCGTCCCCCTCTGCGCTGCGGGTGTGCTGGAAGTGCTGCACCACGGAATGGATTACTAAGTTGTTGGACTGCGGAGAGGCAGCAGAAAGAACATTTGTAAGACTTGTAAGACTTGCGCTCAGGGGAGGGCGACGGTGGCACTTTCTCTCACTTCATTGTCCTTGTGGCTAACGTTTAAAAAGGAAAAAAACAGTCCCAAAGACGTTCAACTTTTGTGCTGCACCTTTTGAATGCTCGGCGACAAAGGGTTGGGGTTTCAAACTTTCGATAACGTCAGAATTCATTTCCAGCTAGTTATGCCTGTCTGGTTAAGCAATGTTATGAATTTTTAAATTTTATAAACCTATCAAAAAAAGAATATTGGGCCCCAGTACCCACTGCTGATGGGAGTGTAATCTGACCATTTTATAACTATCAAATAAGCCCTCTGACCCGGCACGTCTGCTTCTTGGACTTGACCCTGTTGCTATCATTGCACAAAGCGAAATCATGTGCAGAGGTCCTTCCTGAGGGGGAACCTGGAAACAGCTCAACCTCAGAAAGGCTTCAGTGTCCACCAGTAAGAGAGCCTGGCAAATAACTCATGCAACAATGTTCACTGTGCACCGAGGCATAAACACCAAGGAAACCCTTTATGTGCAGATACCGAAGGATCTCACATACAAATACACTTGCTATGTGATAGTAATTTATGAAAAGGTCACAGACATTATATTATATACAGTAACCTATCCAATTTCTATCAAAAGGAGGAAATACACACACATTTGTTTATATATGCAAAAGTATGCTTCCAAAGGTGAAAAGAATATATAAATCTAGGGGCGCCGCCTGGGTGGCTCAGTAGCTCGAGCATCCGACTTCGGCTCAGGTCATGATCTCACGGCTCTTGAGTTTGAGCCCCGTGTGGGACCCTGTGCTGATAGCTTAGAGCCTGGAGCCGGCTTCGGATTCTGTGTCTCCCTCTCTCTCTGCCCCTCCCCTGCTCGTGTGCACTCCCTCTCTCTCTCAAAAATAAATAAACATCTTTTAAAAAAGAATATATAAATCTACATACTTACTTTTAACGCACAGACTCTCCCTGGAAGACACTAGCAAACTAACAATATTGGTTTCTGTATCAAGAGAGGGTAAGTGAAGAGTTCAAAGTAGAAGACTTTAAAACCACAAAACAAAACAAAAAACTTATCTCAGAGAAATGTGTGTCAAATATAAATGTAAATGCAGGGGTGCCTGGGTGGCTCCGTCAGTTCAGTGTCCAACTCCTGATTTCAGCTCAGGTCCTGATCTCACCGGTTTGAGAGCTTGAGCCTCCCACCGGGCTCTGTGCAGACAGTGCAGAGCCTGGAGCCTGCTTGGGATTCTCTCTCCCTCTCTCTCTGCCCCTCCCCTGCTCGTGTTCTCTCTCTCTCAAAATACTTAAAAAAAAGATGTTTAAAAAAAAAGGTCTTACAAATTCTTTTTTATTAGGCTTATTTCCTAAGTAGTTGCTATTTTCCATGCTCTGGTAAGCACCTGAAGCTGCTATAGAAACACAAAGATGGAAAATGAAGATGGACACACTAATGCTCCAGCAAGGCTGGACTTTAAACTGAACCAATTTTCCTCTTCCTCATTCTTGAAGCCTCCTCCCCTCCACTTGTTTCTCTGCAGAATCCTTTGTTCCAGGGACTCGGTATTGATTCTCAGTAATGAAGCTTGATAGTCGGCGCCATCGCTGGTCACAAGACCATCTTGAAGATGACGAACGCGGCTGGCATCCCGGTCCAGATTCCTACCGGCACTGCCTGGATCCTGTATTTTCCTATAAAACCCCTCAGCCTTTTACCCCGGGCCAGTCTGCAGTTTTGAAGGCACTAGCCTGCTGTGGCCTCCTTTGCCTGGCAAAATGATAAAACTATTGTCCCTCTTTGTCCCCAGACTGTCTCTGCGTGTTACATTTTGGCTCTGGAGCACAGAGGTTGATTTTCCACAACACACGTGCGTGTTGAGGGGACACAGGAACACAACCGGTTTTTGTATCTCATAACTGCTAAATGTTCTTATTAGCTCTGATAATCTAGCTGCAGATTCTCCTGGGCTTTCTTTTCTTTTGAAGTTTATTTATTTTGAAAGCGAGAGCGTGAGCAGGGGAGGGGCGGGGGGGGGGGGGGAGAGAATTCCAACGCTTAACCAACGCTTAACCCAGGTGGCCCTCTCCTGGGTTTTCTATGTGGACAGTCACATCACCTGTGGGAAGCAAGACAGTGACCATTACTAACTGAGAAGCCATCACACTGTCTCTGAGTTTTCCTATCAATTTAAAAGTACATGGGGCACCTGGGTCACTCAATCGGTTAAGCGTCCGACTTCGGCTCAGTCAAGACCTCACAGTTCGTGAGTTCGAGCCCCACATGGGACTCCGTGCCGACAGCTCAGAGCCTGGAGCCTGCTTCAGATTCTGTGTCTCTCTCTCTCTCTCTCTCTGCCCCTCCCCTGCTCACACTCTGTCTCTCTCTCTCTCTCTCTCAAATATCAATAAACATTTAAAAATTTTTTAAATAAAAATAAAAGTGCATCTGAAATGGCTCAAACCTCAAACTCTTAATAAGGCAACAATAAGGGATTTAAAAGACTAATTCCAGGGCAAAATAAAGGGCAAACTCTCCTCGTTGAAATGATGCAAAGCAAGTCAATGTACACACATCACAAACATCCTATCAGCCACCTGGAATTTATTTATAGGATATATATTGGCTAATTGTATCAAGCTAATTTGCAAAACAGCAAGACTAAGTATCACTCTTCTTTTAAAAAAATACCAAGAGGGAGTCACATTTTATTTTTTCATATGACTTACAGCGAAAAGACGGTGAGCCTGTCTAGAGACTTTACCTCAGTGCCCCCGGAAGTGAAGATTATGTCCTGGGGTTTCCCACCTATCATCTTCGCAAGGTTGTCCCGAGCTGTGTCAATAATGTCCTTGGCCTTCTTACCTCGAGAGACCAAAACGGACACTCACTACCATGGCTTTGCGGTTTCCCAACAAACACACGTTTAGAACAACAACCAGACGTGAAGGAACCGCTCTCGGTGGGCGATTCTGAGACGACCCGTGTCCCCTTGGCGTGAAAACAACAGGCCACAACCTAGGAATGAGCCGGCGCAGGGACCCTGAAGTCCCCGCAGATGTGCTCGTCGTCTCACCAGAGGCTACAGGACAGGGGAGCCGTGGCCATCTGCCCTGCCCCCCCCCCCCCATCAAGACAGGAGGGCCAAAGGATGGAATAATTTGCTTAAGATCATGCTGCACAACACCAGAAATAAGCTCAAGAGAGCTCGTGAGCCCTCAACACAAGGTCCAATGGTGCACGACACAGGCTACTGCCTCAGGGACAGACGCACGGTCACACGGAGGCCACGCAGCCAGTGTCACCGGCTGGTGGGAGAGAAGGACCCAAATTGTATGTGGTAGCGAAAGGAAGGGCAGGCAGGAGGGAATTCTGAGGTGTCAGTGGCCCCTCTTCCTTAGTCTGTAGAGCAAAGTTGGGTGAGTATTCAGCCCTACTTGTAAAAAAAGGGGGGGGGGGTAGCAGGCACCATGAAACCAGTCAATCGTGCATAAACAGAAATGTAAAATCACGTGGTAAAAATTAATATACAAAGAAATTCACACAATCCTTAAAAGACTATTGTAGAGATTTTTTTTTCAATGTTTTATTTTTGAGAGAGCGTGAGCGGGGCAGGGGGAGGGCGGAGAGAATCCCAAGCAAGAAGGCTCTGCACTGTCAGCACAGAGCTCCCTGTGGGGCTCGAACTCACGAACCGCGAGATCATGACCTGAGCTGAAGTCAGATGCTCAGCCGACTGAGCCACCCGGGCGCCCAACTCTTGTATGGATTTGCCTTCTAAGTCGTGACGGCCTGTGGTGTTTGGTGGTGCTGCTGGACTGGAGTATGACGCCCCGCCTTTCCCAACGCACCTCGAGACCTTCACATGAGCGCTTCACAGCGATTTCTTTGCAAAGGTGGGTTTCCTAGTTCACCTATTACTTGGCAAAAGCCGCCCTCTATTCACTTTTTGCACCTTTCCACAAGCCTCCGGGCGTTTCTGAGGGAGGAAGGGCTCCCGGGGCCACGTCCCCACCGCTCTGAGGCCAGGAGAGCAGCTGAAGTGGCGACTGTCTGTTCCGAGTGCTCAGGAGGCCACGGAGGGACCACCACGATGGGGGCAGGACGTGCCACGGCCACGCTGGACACAGGACAGCAGTCCCTTAAGGAGCCACACGTGCCCCCGCCGTGCGATGCAGCCACCCCGTCCCCAGGCATTCACGGCAGTTACTCTTCACTGAGAGGAAAGCAAGCGACGTCCCTGGTGACGGTCCCAGCAGCGTCACCGTTGACGGCCAGAAGCTGGAAACCGCTCACGTGTCCGGCAGGTGAAGGCGTGGAGACAGCGGTGCCTCCACGGGGAGGGGCGCTCTCCCCAGTGAAAGGACACGAGCTCCGGACACCCCGACAGCATGGATGCATCTGAAAACCGCTGTGCTCGCTGCCGCGTTCTCAGGTTTGACGACGGCACTGTGATGGGAGAAAGTCCCCTCTCTTACGCACACACACGGGTGGGTCCTTGTGCCTGTAACTCAGGGGCTCATGGAAAACACATGTAAATTTAGAAAGAAAGGGATCCAGGGGACGCAGCAGCACTGCTGGGACCCAGTAGGTGGGAGACGCGTGGGTGTGCACGTTCTCACTGTCAAACGTCAGCAACGTCTGCAGCTGTTAGTGTAGCTAAGTGTAAAGGTTGGTGCTTGTAACTGACGCCACAGGAGACTCCAGACTCCTCTCTGGGCGCAAGAGGGAGTAAGGGGCGTGTGGCTCCCGCGGTCCCTTAAAGCAGCCCTCCTTCACTGGGCTGCCCCTCACACCAGAGCCCCTCGACCTCCCCCAGCAATGGCCCGCTGCTTCTCTCCCTTGCCCATCTCCACCCGCCCTTCCGTTCCCTCTTGAACCCACGGCAATCAGGCTCCCAAATCTCCTCTGACCAAGGTCCCCGGGTGCCAAATCCAGGTCCTCACCTCCCCCCCACTGCCAGCAGCAGCTCGCAGGGTGGCTCCCTCCTCCAACGCGTCCCTCGCTGGGCCGGCTCCAATTCCAGACTCCAGATGGCCTTGCGCCCTGGCAGGTCCTCGGGTCCTCCCTCCCTGAGCAACTCAACACCGAACGCCAGCTCAGTGCCCAAGACTCCGCTCGCTCCACCGGGTTCCTGGTGGGCATCTGAAACTACACCTGCTCAAAGCTGAATGCAGCCTGTCTCCCCCCGACTTGTTCCTCGAAGCCCTTCCTAGCTCAGTAAACCCACAGCAACTCCATCCTTCCAGGGGCCAGGCCCAGTGAGCCTTCCCTCCTGCCTTTCCCTGTAAGTCTCTGCCATCAAGAATAGCCAGAATCCGACCCCACCCACACACCGCCCAGCCACCAGCTGAGTCAAGGCTGCTGCTGACATATTCTCCTGGCAGACTCCCGCGTCCACGGACCCCACTGTGGCCCATTCTCCAAGCAGTGGCCACAGTAATACACTTCGTACCCTCACCAGAACGGTGCTCGGCCGCCGGTAGGTACCCAACCAATACTGCTTAAATCAGCTGTTCTCCAAGTGTGGTCTGGGGAACACAGGCTGGGGAGGGGGGGACCCGGCACTTTCAGGGGTCCACAAGGTCAAAACCGGTTTCAACTTAATACTAAGACATTATTTGTCTTTTTATTCTCATTTTCTCCAAAGCATATAGCGGAGCTTTCCAGAAGCCACATGATGTGAATATTGCAACAGACTCGATATAGAAGCAGGTACGGGAAAGCAACTTTCTCCTTTAGACAGACACTAAAGAGGCTTTCACGGGTACGACAATGACACTCTTCTCACTAAATCTGTGCTCTTGGGAGAAGGCAGTTTCTTTTTCACGCAAAAAAGTTAACACGTAATGGATTCATCACTGTTTTGTTAGTGAACTCCTAAATATTTATTTCAGGTTCCCCAGTGTTGCTGTCTAGTGTGGCAAACATCTGTGCGTGTAGCGCACATAAACAAGAGCTCCCTGGAGTCCTGAATGCGCTCGAAGAGCGTAAAGGGGCTGTGAGCCCAAAATGTTGCGAGCTGCTGGGATGGACCATGTCCCTGCTCCGCTCCGAGTCCTGCAGACACTGTGCATGACGTCAGAGGCAAGCTGGGCGCTCACAGTGGCCTCTACGGCCCTACGCGGCACTGTCCCCTGCAGCTCTTGAACCCCCGTGCCCACCCCACGAAAAGAGAAGTCCTCACAACCTCCCACAATCCCCTGCCCAAGACCAACGGTGGTACCAGCGTCAGGTGCGTGTCCTCTGGGCTCAGGCTGCTGGCTGTCCGCTCCGCCACCCTCCCTTCCTACGACCGCGACATCTCCAGCTCGCACGTGGCTGTATTACGGCCACATTTAGGTGAAGAAAATCTCAGATGAATGAAGAATGAAGACCTCATTTCCCAACTCCCACTGCAATTGGAATGCTAATGCACGGCCATGGGACCAACCTCTGGCAAGCGATTAGAAGCCAGAGCGATACATGCAACTTCCAGAAGTGTCGTTGAAGGACTCGGGCATCGCTTTCCCCTCCTCTTTCTTTCCTTCCTACGGGGCTGGGCTGCGCACAAGATGGCCTGAGCAGGAGCAGCCATCTTGACCACTGGGGGAATGAACAGGACACAAGTGGAGAGAATGGAAGGAACCGGGGTCGCTGGCCTTGGCCGTGTGACCACGTGGGCCCCGGACGGTCAGAGAAATGACCTTCCGCCTACATAAGCTGCTGTTCCTTGGGGGTTTCTGTCTCTCACAGCAAAATGATACATTTTCTACCCTGGCTCACACACAATTTTTCCTTAGGGGGTGGGTATGGCAAACAAAGAAACCTTCTTGTTTTATAACACACCCTTCCCACTTGAACAATATGCTGCTACTGTGCTTCTAGGTCATCGATACAGTCCACACCATGGCTTTGACAGGGTCCAGAACTCCACTCGAGGGTTTCAGCATACTTTATGGGACAAGTCCTTGACTGACGGACGCTGAGGTTATCTCCAGCTTTGTACCATTATAAGCAAGGCTTTGACAAACATCTTGGGTATCTCAACTCTCCCTACGTGTCCTTAACATTTTCCCTAAAATAAATTCTCCCAAAGGAATTATTATCATTATTAAATCATAATTGTGAAACTAATCAAACCATTCTATCATAACGGTGATTTTCTTTTCTTTCCTTTCCTTCCCCCCCATCCCCATTTCTACCTGAGTATCAACAAGTGAATTGCAATGTAGACTTTAGTTACGGTTCTTAACAAAGAAACAAAGGCCATCAAAGGCAACCTGAAAGCCAGTGACAGGCTTCATCAGGTCAAGAAGGGGAATTTCTCCTTCAAGGTTGTTCTGTTTTCTTTTTTTAATGTTTATTTTTATTTTTGAGAAAGAGAGAGAGAGCGAGAGCGTGAGCAGGGGAGGGGCAGAGAGAGAGGGAAGTAGGCTCCAGGCTCCGAGCTGTCTGCAGAGCCCCACACACGGCTTGAAGTCGTGAACTGTGAGATCATGACCTGAGCCAAAGTCGGACTCTTGAACGACTGAGCTGCCCAGGAGCCCCCTTCAAGGTTACTCTTAAACTTCTTTATAATAAATGTTTTTTATTAGCATTTTATTGTCCTCCATATTCTCAAGTTTAATTCACCAGAAAATACAATTTTACTAGAGGAAAGATAAGATACAAGGCAACGTCCAAAAGATTAACTAGAATACACGTACCAAAGAAGTTAATGAATGACTAGCACCTGATTTTGAAACAGCTTTTAGTTACCAAGCTGTGAAGCTTTTAGGAAACGAACACACGTGAAAACCCACAAAAGCCTGTAAAGTTGTATACAAATATTACTAAATCCTAGAGCTTGGCAACACTCTGTTGAAAGCTTTCAGTTCATCACAATCCATATTAAGATTATCTTAATTATCTGATAAGCATTAAATTAAAAAGGTACAACTTTAGATCACTATGTGAAAAACATAAGACTCCCGACTTGAAGCAAATTGTTTTCCAAACCACCAATTTAATGATCTACATTAAAACAAGAATAAATAAGAATATTTTTATTATAACAGACGTTAAGAATTTTAAAGTAAATTTCATTTAAAAAAAGGCCAGGATTATATGCAATCGTGATGATTTAAAGGTTTTGCAAATTTTGTAAGACTCAACTGAGACAGACAGATATGTGAAAGGGTTTCAATAGGTACTGTTATCACAAATAGCTCTTAATAAAACATCGTTTTCATCTGAGTAAGGGGGACGGTGTGTGTGTTCCAAATGAAAGATCATCAACCAGCTCAGTGTACAAGTTTGGACTTCTCTGGAAAAACAAACAAATAAAATCTACCAAAAATTACACCCGAGACTTGCAGTTAACAGAAAATCTCTCCACACCAAGTGACCACAAGTGGTGCACAATTTCTCTAAGAGTGCCCCGCCCTCCATATCTCGGATCTGTGAGCACCCTCGAGGATTACCTGTGGGGTAAGGACTGCTGGGATTCCCCCAGGCTTCTCTCATGGCCTCGGTCATGACCTGGATAACCTCTGGCTCAAGCGGGGTGGTTGCGTTATAGTCCATGTAAACTTTCCTGCCGGAAAGAGAACAAAGACGTGTCTGTTAAGGAAAAGGAGACGGAACCCGGAGCACGGCTGCCCTGCGTCCGTCGCCTCCGCAGGAGCAAACAGCAAGGGCAGGGAGCTTCTCTGCATGACCACCACACAGGCTCCACCAGCTGCACTTGGCAATCCCCCAATCTTCATGAATTACGGAGAAGGTATGCCCGGTTTTCCAACAATCTAGTATTTGCTAGCGTCCTCTACAATCACTAGAAGAGCGTCCATTTAGATCTGCAAAACCTCTTTCCAGCCCCTGGTAGGAGGATCAAGGGTCCTGGTTACAAGGACAGGTCTGTCTCCTGTCCTCCACGCAGAAGGAGGGGAACCAGGCACACCCAGTAGCCACACATTCCAGAAGTTTTTCTTTTTTCTCTGTAATTTCTGGTTTGGCCAGAGGCTCGGGTGATCTGGGTGCCCACTCCTCTCCACACCCTCCCCTTTGCTCCCTGACAGGAGCGGACCTGCTTCTCCTCCCTCCCCTCTTCACTTTCCTGTGCCTCCAGTGACCACACCCCCGCCACCCCACTTTCTTTTTGGGTCTTTGCTCCATCTTGACCTTCTCGTGAAGCCCCCTACAGCAGCCAGTCCCCTTCCTCCCAGCACCCGGAGACCCCCCGCTCCTTCCTCTGTCCCCATGGCACTCGGCAGCCTCTGACACACTGCACTGGTTCCTTGTCGACTGTCTGCCTCGAGAGGCAGTAATAGAAGGTCAGGTGCAGAGGCCCATGGGCTTTGCCAGTTCTCCTCACTGCTCTGTCACCAACACTGAGAACAATGGCCAGCACACAGCAGGGACCGGACTTGCAACAAAGTGTCACAGAAAAGCACATCCCCTGAAAGATCCCTCCTAAATAAAATTTTTCTGTATTTCTTTTTACCAGTATCAAAACCCTTCAGATACTTTCTTAATAGATACAATAGGTAATCCTGCCTAATACTATTATTTTACCTGATTTTAAAACCAGTAACAGTTTTTTAAATGTTTTATTCATTTTAGAGAGAGCGCACGCACTAATGGAGGAGGGGCAGAGACGGGGGGGACAGAGGATCCCAAGTGGGCTCTGTGCTGTCAGCAGTGAGCCCAATGTGGGGCTCCAACTCGGGAACCGAGACATCAAGACCGAGCCAAAGTGGGCCGACTGACTGAGCTACCCAGGTGCCCCTAAAATCAATAACAATGTTTAATTAAACCAATCCACATGAAAATTCAAATACAATTACCAACTGTGGCTGTTAAAAGTCTGTTGTTGTTGTTTTTTTAACCACAGTGTTTTAATGCAACATCTTGCTGTCCAAAGTCACCTGATTGGTTTGAGGCTTTGGCAAGTTTGACCCTTGGCCACTCCCACTTGGCAATGTGCTGATTCTGCTGTGACTGAAATCTGCAAGGGCCCCTAATTTTGCTGACACTTCCTACTAAGTATCCTAAGTTTCCTCAAGCTACTAGTGTCTGCTCAGCGACTGCAGCTTTTCAGTCTGCTGCTGGGGTGAGCTAATCCATGGCCTGAGTTTCAGATGAACATTTTATAGATAACTCTGCTCTATTATGGTCTTCTTCCTTAAGATGCTATCGTTATCGGATGCGAAAGCTAAACTCTGTTATGTCCATAATCAAAATGTAATAAAAAGGTATTGCGAGCCTCCTCTCCACTCGAGTCTCCCTGCAGGGCTTTCCCCTAGCCCCTCTGCTCAGTCTCCACCAAAGTAGACTGCCTAATGAAAAAGAGGGTCAGATTTCGGCCTGGACCGGAGTTTTAAAGACACAAACACTCCTCATATTCGGGTGCAGGGGCACAGTGGACCGGAAGGCCAACTGCTCAGGCCAGGGGCCCGGGAGGCACGCTCCGCAGACCCTCCTTCCTCTGCGCGGGTGCACCAGCCAGTCCTGCGGCTCCGTCTCAGAAGCCCCCCTTCGCCACCACTGCCACCACTCCGGTCCACACCACCTCCCTCTCCCAGATTTTTACAAGACTCCCAACGTTGCCCTGCTTCCTCCCCTGTCCCGCCACCCCCTCCCCCCCGCGCCTGGAATACACGTCCCGAAGTCCTTCCTGAGCTCCGTGGCTCCGCTCGCTGACCGTCGCCCTGCCAAGCCCTCCGCTCCAGCCGCGCGCTCGGCTCAGCCCCGGGGCCGGTGCAGCGGCTGCTCCCCCGCCCCGCGCGCTCTCCCCGGACTCGGGCGCTGACTCCCGGACGTCACTTGGCGCGGGAGCCCCGGCGCGGCGGTGCTTCCCACCTCGCACCCCGCGACGCGAGCCGCCCCGTCGACAGCGCGCCCGGCCGCAGGCCCGCGGGGACCGCCAGCTGGCGCCCCCCTCCGGGCGGGTCCCTCCCCCGGAGAGACCAGTGCCCGCCTCCGACCTCCCCGGGAGGGGGGGGGGAACCCCTCCCTGGAGAGACCCCTGCCCACCGCTCCCCACCGCCCGCCTCCGGCCTCCCCGGGCGGGACCTCCCAACCCCGAGGGCTTCCCGGAGGAGGGCGCCGGCCGCTTCCCCCTCACGGCGCGCACCTCTCCGGTGGGGTCTTCTCTCCACCGTCGCCGGGCTGACTCGCCGCGCGCCCGCGCGCATCCCCGGTGAGCGCCACGGCCGCCTCCATCGGGCCCCAGCACTACCCCAAACGGCCGACCGCGCGGCTCGCGCCCGGGAGCGTCTCCTGGAGGCCCGGCGGAGGGGGCGGGGCCGCGAGGCCCGGGCGGCGTCCGGATTGGCTGAGCTTTGCATTCCGGCCAATGACTGGGGCCAGCACAGGTGAGATGCCGATTGGCTGAGGGAGGTCAGGTGACGGGTGTGCGTCACAGGGGGCGTGGTCACGGAGGCTAGGAGGCGGGGGTGAGCGCCTCTCTGGAGTCTGCGCTGGTCCATACCCGCGGCAGCCGGGCCGGGGCCGGGGCCGGCCTGTCAAGGGGGCACTGTTGTCCCCATTTTATATATGGGGAAATTGAGGTACGGTATGGAAAAGCTCAGCACCTTGCCCAAGTTCACACGGGCAGTGAAGGACCCAGAATTTGAATTCGGGAATGCTTTGCCAAGAAGGTGAATTCTAACTGGCTTTTCGTAGACTTTCTCGGTTTGACCTCCTGTTGGGGTCCAGGCGTTGTCTCTTCCAGCTCTGCAAGCCTCTATATTTCTGGGTTCCTTATTTCTTTTCATTCTTGCTGGCAAAGTGAGCTCATTTCTTGCAACGTGCAGCCATAGCAAAGGACACAGCAAAATTTAAGAAGCAAGCAGACACCCAGGAGTTCAAGAACTATCAGCAGAGGGGGAAAGAAAGGGAATTGGGAGAGCATGGTCAAGAGCAGATGAGAGTGTACAGTGCAGCGGAGAGGGCGTCCGCAAAGTGTCTACTGTATACAGTTAGGAGCACTGATGCATTTACTAAGGGAAGTTTGAGTACAGCAGTGCGGAGAGGGCAGAAAAGTGCGCGGTGAGTTGACGGATGAATGGGACATGAAAGAACTGAGAACGTGGCCAACAGTTTCCTGAAGTTTGAAAGGAGAAGGAGCCACAAAAAGGGGTTACAAGATTAAGGGAAATATTTTAGAGACTGAACATGTTTATAAACTGCAGGGAGGTAGCTAACAAGAAAACTGAAGATGAGAGACAAGAGGCAGAGGCCTGGAGGAGATGGGAGGGCATGGGCTTAAGAGAGAGCAAGGGTGGGGCACCTGGGTGGCTCAGTCGGTTGAGCTCAGGTCACGATCTCACGGTCTGGTCCGTGAGTTCGAGCCCCGCTTGGGCTCTGTGCTGACAGCTCGGAGCCTGGAGCCTGCTTCGGACTCTGTGTCTGCCTTTCTTTGCCCCTCCCCCCACTCGTGCTCTGTCTCTCTCTCTCTCTCTCTCTCTCTCTCAAAAATAAACATTAAAAAAAATTAAAAACACAAGAGATGAGCTGAATGGAATAGACACAATCAGCAAATTAGTAAGCTGAATACCTGAGCATAGGAATTCTCTGATTATTGCCTAGAAGCATAAAGGGTTAAAAATTTTGAAACAAAAGAAAAAATCCATCCAATACGGTGATTTTCAACTGAGAGTGACTCTTCTCTCCAAGGGGTGTTTGACAATGCCCGGAGATAATTTTGGTTGTCATAATTGGGGGTAGGTCCTTCTGGGACCTAGTGAGTAGAAGCCTCTAATTTCCTACAACACGCAGGACCGCCCCCACAGCAACAAATAATCCGTCCCAAAACGGCAACAGTGCTGAGGCTGAGAAACCCCGGTGTGGTTCCTCATTTCCATTTCGTACCATATTCCTTCTGTCTGAGGCCTTTGTTCAAAATTTTTTCTAAGGCTAGTCTGCTGATAGGACTTCTGTTTTTACATGCATGAGAAAAGTCCTTTTTTAAAGTTATTATTTATTTATTTTGGGAGAGAGAGAGAGGGAGCGAGAGAGGATTCCAAGCAGGCTCGGTGCTCAGTGCAGAGCCTGACATGGGGCTCAATCCCAAGAACCAAGAGATCAGGACGTGTGCTGAAATCAAGAGTCAGACGCTTACGCCACTGAGCCACTCGGGTGCCCCTGAGAAAAGTCTTTCTTTTGCCTCCATCTTTGATATTTTCTCTAGGTAAAGAATTTTAGCTGGAATTTTTTTCTTTTAGTACAGATGTTTCTCCACTGTTTTCTCACTTGCGTTGTTTCCAATGAGAAATCTGCTGTCACTTTGTTCCTCTACATACTATGTGTCTTTATTTCTTGCCTGCTTTTAATATTTTTGCTCTATTATTGACTTTTAAACATTTTTAAGGTTTATTTGTTTTGAGAGAGAGAGTGGAGGAGGGGCAGAGAGAGAGGAGAGAGAGAAGCCCAGGAAGGCTCCGTGCCATCAGCATGGAAGGGCTGGAACTCACAAACCGTGAGATCATGACCTGAGCCGAAATGAAGAGTCGGATGTTTAACCGACCGAGCCACCCAGTGGCTCTTATTTCTTTAAATAAGTTTCTCCTCCCTACTCCTCTGAAGACCCCCCGTTACAAGTATATTGGGTGTGTGAAGTTGTCCCACAGCTCAGTGAAGTTCTTTTTTTTTTTTTTTTTTTGCCCTAGTTCTGGTCCCACCTTTGTTTCATTCCGTATTGTTTTTACTGTCATATCTTCTTCAAGTTCATGAATATTTTCTTCTGCAGTACATCACCTGTCGTTAAGCCCATCTAGTATATTTTCTTCACCACAGGTATGTTATTTTCTTCTGGAAGTTGAATTTGTGTCTTTTGTATATTTTCCATATCTCGACATGAACGGTCTTCCCTCTACCTTCTTGAACTGTTTTAATTCTCTAGTCTACTAATTCTGTCATATTTCTCATTCTTGAGTCTGCTCCTTTTGACAGATTTTCCCCCTTGCCATGCGTCTTATTTTCTTCCTTCCATACCTGTGATTTTGTATAGGGTTGTAATTTTGTATTACAGTGGTAGGCACTGTAAATTTTACGTTGTTGGGTCCTGGAAATACAGTTTTATCTGACAATGTTGAGATCGTTGTAGATCTACATGCAGTTGTAATAAATGATAGGAGGTGCTTTTTCCAGGTTTTCACAAGTTGGTACATCTTCCAAAACTATAGTAATCCATTCTGCCAGCCTTTGCCTTCCAGTGGATTAGCTCATTTACATATATTTAATGTTGACTCTTAAAGGTACCATCTTACTGTTTTCTGTTTGTTTCGTCTGGTTTTCAACACCGTTTCTCTTTACTTGCCTTCCTGTGGGTTATTCAAACATTTTTTTTAGTGTTCCTTCTTGATTTGTCAATAGCGTTTTAAAATAGTTTTAATTCACATACATTAAATTCACCCCTTTAAAGTGTACCTTTAATTTGGGGCACCTGGGTGGCTCAGTCAGTTAAGCGTCTGACTTTGGCTCAGGTCATGATCTCACGGTCCGTGAGTTTGAGCCCCACGTCGGGCTCTGTGCTGACAGTTCAGAGCCTGGAGCCTGCTTCGGGTTCCGTGTCTCCCTCTCTCTCTGCCTCTCCCCCACTAGCACTCTGTCTCTGTCTCTCTTGAAAATAAACATTAAAGAACATTTTAAGTGTACAATTTAGTATATTTACAAGGTTGTGCAGTCATCATCACTAATTCCAGAGCATTTTCGTCACCCCCCAAAAGGAACACTATACTCATTTAGCATTCAGTCTCCATTCCTTCCTCCCCACAGCCCCTAGCAACAACCATGCTACTTTCTGTATCTATAGATTTGCCTTTTCTGGACATTTCATTTATGTGGAACCATAGCTTCTTTCAGATGTGTTCATGTCTTTGAGGTCCATCCAGGTTGTAGCACGTTTCCATAATTCCTTTCTATTGATGATTACTATTCCTTTGCCTGGCTATACCACATCCTGTTTTCCAATTCATCGGTTGACAGACATTTGGGTTTCCAGCTTTAAACTATTAAGAATAATGCTTCTCTGAACATTTATGTACACATTTTTACATGGAGATATATTTTCCGTTCTCTGGGTTATATACCCAGGAGTGGAATTGCTGGGTAATATGGTAGCTTCATGTTGTTATGTTCACTTTGTATTAACTTTTGATGAAATGTTCCGATAGGTGTTCCAAACTGGCTGCACGGGCATTGCACCAGCAATGTAGAGGACTCCAATTTCCCAGCATCCCTAGCAACCCTCGTCACTGTCTTTTATTTTAGCCATCCTAGTGGGTGTGAAGTGGTCTTGATTTGCATTTCCCTAATGACTAATTGTGATATTGTGGAATATAATAAGAAATGTATGTCTGGTCTTCGTCCCTGTTTCCTGGCACAGAGCTCGTAAAACCCTTGGAATTTCTCGGTGAGATGGAAATACAGGCGAAAGGAACATCTTTTGTTATTTGTAGCAAGCCCTTTTCTGCCACACTCAAGCTTGGTGTCGGGGTGGGGGGGGGGACCAATCACTTGATTAGATAGAGGGTTGGAACTTTGAGCCCCCCTCCCACCCCCAGTCTCTGAGGAGGAGACGGGGGCTGGAGACCTAAGCATCAACGGTCAGTGATTTAATCAATCATCTCTGCATAATGAAGCCACTGTAAAAACCCTGGCTGGAGGAGTTTAGAGAGCGTCCTGGCGGGTGGACACGTGGGGTGCTGGGAGAGTGCACACATGGAGAGGACACTCCTGGATCTGTGCGCACACAGATCTTCCGTGCCCTTCCCCCTGACCTTGACTTAGGCAGCTCTTCTGTGTGACTGTTTTGAGTCGTCTCATTTTATAATGAGCCTGTAATCTAGTAAAGTTGTCCTGAGGTCTGTGACGTGTTCTAGCAAATTACTGAACCCATGGAGGGGGTCACCGGAAGCCTTGGTATGCAGCCAGTCAGAAGTGCCAGAGGCCAGGACTTGGGACTGGCATCTGAAGGGTGGGGGGCAGTCTTGTAGGACGGGGAGCTCTTAACCTGTGGGATCTGATGCTTCCGGCAAGTACAGGTGTTGGAACTAAACTGAATTGTAAGATACCCAGCTGGTGTCAGAGAACTGGTCTGTGCGGGGAAAAATCCCACACGTCTGGTGTCACAAGTGAGTAGTGAAGGGGCTCCTGGGTGGCTCGGTCCGTTAAACACCCGACTCTTGATTTGGGCTGAGGTCTTGATCTCACAGTTCATGGGACTGAGCCCCTTGTCAGGCTCTGCACTGAGGGCACAGAGCCTGCTTGGGATTTTCTCTCTCCTCCTTTCTCTCTGCCCCTTA